TTGCACTATCACCGTGGTACAAGGAACCAGATCATAACATACATAAACCACCGGCGCCGCCCACTCACTAAACTCTATTTTTAAAAGAATCCTAGTTTGTTCAAGTCTCTCCAATTCTTTGTCGATTTTTTCTATAGTAGCGAACGGTACGTTTCGCTTCTTTTTAAAAACTGGTTGGACGTTTTCTTTTAATTTGATACTGTTTACAAATTTGTTCCATCGTCCCAACCCGCTCAAAAAAATACCTCAGGAAATTGGTTATATAATTCTGCCTTTAACTTTTATGGTACCTGATGGTTCAACCTTTTTTTTTTTGCAAAAAGAGCTGATAGGTAGATCCTAAACGTTGAACTTTTGCATCCAGTTGATACCTACTAGATTTTCAGTATCTTTCATATCGTATATCTTAAGTTTTTTTTTTTTGTTTTGCCGTGAAATTTAACATTCACGATTATTTCTCCTTCAAATTTTATTTGCTTGCCTGTAACCGACTTGCCAATTTTTTGTGTATGTAACATGGTAGGTCTGTCGAGTTTTCTCCATGTCTGTAGGTTGATTATTGTGAGGTCGGAACCCGAATCCAGTTGCAATTTTATCTTTTTATTTAAAATTTCCAGTTCCACATATTTCCTTATGTTGGTATTGTCTTCGTTATGCATCCTAGTAGCTCTTATTCTACTAGTATCTTTTCTATTCCTACATTGGGATGCCTTGTGGCCCTTTTTTCCACACTCAAGACAGTTTTTATATCTAAAGCGGCAATCCTTGTCCTCCACACCAATAACATGCTGATGTGTGTGTGTATGTGTGTGGGGGGGGGCTTATATTGCTTCGATTTTCATCATAATTTGTCCTGTATGTTGTACTTTTTCTCTTATTATAGAATTTTTGTTTTCTTTCTGGGGAGGGTGAGAATCTTTTTTCATTATTATAGAATTTTTGTTTTCTTTCCGGGGAGGGTGAAGAACGTAGACTTTTGTTTAACTTACGTATATGAGATACAGCTGACTCCTCAATGTCCTTCGCGTCTTTCTTTATACTTAGGTATCTCTGGCAATCTTCCGATAATTGTTGTAGTGTTAGTCCCGGTTCATCTTGTAATTTTGAAAGCATTCTTTTGCGCATTTCGCTATCTTTTGTTGAAACTAACCCTTGAACAAAGATTAACACCGGACATTTGAAATTGTCCGGGGTCAATTCCACTAGTTTGAAGTCATCGCAATCTTTATTTACGATTGCGCCAAACGTGAAATAATCCTCATTATTGCCTTTACTAGGTTAAGGCCTTTCCACTTCCTGTGGAAGAGTGATGTTTTTGGGCTGAAGAGTTTTTTAAGACATGTCACTGCTTCGTCAAATGTTAATTCGTTCGTCTTTTTTGGCAAGATATAATCCACGAACTTTGTATATTCTTCAGTTCCTAATTTTCAAAGCAATAGACATAGCTTTTTTGCTTATGTCCAATTTTGACAGTCGATGTTAAAGATGTCTTCATGTCTTCTGAAGTAATCTCTGAAATTTTTGTCCTCATCTAGAGAATATTTGAAAATCTCTATGGTATTCCACACTGCGTCTTGCGAAACAGTTGCTTCTTTTTCAATATCTAATTGCTTGTTACCTGTTACTTTCAATAATAGTTCCTGGAGATCCTTCTGCGTTTGTAGAAATTGCTTTTGCCATTTTTCTTCCATTCTTTCTTGTAGTTGTAATTTTTGATCATTTTGGTATTTTACCAGTTCTACCAAAATATTTTAAAATTCTTTCATGATAACTCAATTTTACGTATTTTTAATCCTTGTAACTGTTAATCCTTGTAATTGAATAATTGAATAAGTTTTAAGTTAAAACTTATTCAATTACAAACATTATCTTACGAAAAATAAGTACAAACTATACATTCAACTACGAGCAACGAAAACAAACGGAACATTCACTTCTCCAAATTCTTTAAAGCTAAAAGTTTATCAACATATTTTCAGCTTTACAAGATTCTCTTTCAGTGAACATTTTGAACGACAAGTTAATTCAGTTTTTGTGAGCTCCGATAAAAAAAATGTTTTATTAGTAAAATTAAAAAAACGTTATCCCAGTCAAAGGGAAGTAACTCATATTATTGTTATTGTAAAACTGTTGTCATTTATAAATATAAATATTGTACCTGTTAAGAAAAGTTATTTTCTTGTATTCTTTCTCTTGTTTGCTTTTTATTTTCTTACACATTCGTAAAGTAAAAAATGTGTGGGTTGATTTATGCCGTCAATACCACTTACACACTTAACATATATGAAATCTTTAGAATTATAGTTTATTAAGATGCTGTAATATCCTTTTTAAATATGACATAATATGAAAATAAGTCATGTGAGTTTATATTTCTTATAAATAATAATATGATCAAATACAGCAGCTGTCATTTGACCTAAAAGTGATATCAAAAGCTTGCGACAGACCTTTTCATTTAGCAGTTGTACATGACAATTAGTTGAATGAAACTTTAATTTTATTTCTAGCCTCTATCAGATTATCTAAATTATGGCATTTCTCTGATGAATTGATAAAATTTAAAAAATTTAAATCTATTGTAAAAAAACGCTTATTTAAACCAATAAAAAGACCATGGGAATCAAATCAAGCAATTGAATTTGAATTCTTAAGATCGAAAAAATAAAATATAAAAAAATATTTTGAGATTTTCCAAAGCTTATTTGAATCTATTGTAACATCTTCAGTTAGCCTCAAAATTGAAAAAATTGACCTTTTTAAAAGACATAATTTTAAATTTTCCACTGACTCCCCCCCATGGAACAATCTTTGAGAAACTAAAACTACTTTTAAAGTTTTGTTTTTTTCGAACTCCATTTGAAATCAGTTATAAATTTTTTCATGAGAAAATCTGTTCATTAAATAATTAGTAAATCTTTCAAACAAAAGAATGATTTTATATTTGAACATAAGTTAGGAACAACTAATTGGAAAAACTCTATTAATTTTAAAAATTCAATAAAATATATCTCTCAAAGATTGTCACGAAAAAAACAAATATAAGAATCTCAGCGAACATCAAACATTTCTTTTTATCATTGTCTGATATACAAATACAATTAAAAACTCTGAAAAAATCATTCAAACAAAGTTTTGCTTCAGTTGCATTTGTATAAAACATAAGATCATTTATTTGTTTGAAGGTCCTGTCTGTTTTTATATTTTTGTATAATTATTTTTATTTTCAAAAGTCTAGAAACAGATACTTGAAAAATTCTTAAAAATGACTAATGTAAAGTCCCAACAAGATTTTAAATCTATAAAATTGATAATGTGTTCTTTTTTTTATGTAGTAGTATTCCATAGATAAAAAATAGCCTTGTTTAAACATTACAGAATTACTAATTGGATGATAATTGTTGAAATATGGCTTTCACAAATAAAAAAGATGTCATTCTCTAGTCCTGTGTGTGTAAATGTTATATTTTGTATAATTATTTTTATTTTCTATAGTTTGACCACTCCTAATGTATTTAAATGAATGGGAGTAAAAATAAGCTCACAAATCAGATGTCTTTCTTTTTCTTAGTTTGAAACCAATAACAGATTTTTTACCTTTTTTTTTTTCTCTTCTATATTTTTTCACCTTAAAAATGTTAAAAACATTTTCAAAAAAACATTTTGCTTTGAGACTTTACTCCCCCACTCTCTCTATCAATTTCAATTATTTTCAAGACAATGCTTTGAGAAACTAAAACTTATTTTTTAAAGTTTTTGATTTTTTTTGCATGGAATTGTCTTTAATAGTCATGTGTTTTCAGTCCATTTGAAATCAGTTATAAATTTTGAAAATTTATAACATCCTGTTAGTGTTCATGAGAAAATCTGTTCATTAAATAATTAGTAAATCTTTCAAACAATCAAGTGATATGATTTTATAGCCAATCATAAGATACAGTAGAAGTTAGGAACATCAGTGTCATTCCCTTGCTTAAAAGAAGAGAAATAATTGTTCTTCCCACCCAAAGCTCAAGTCTTTGTTGATTAATAGTGTACAGAAAAGAAAGTCTTTTTATAAGAATATTTTGCTGAAGCCTTTAATTTGTGCTTTATGTCAATATAAATACTTTTATCCTGAAGAAGTTCATTCCATTAACTCTATTTGTTTCAATCTTGTTATTGTTATCTATATCTTTATGATCTGATTTATGTTTGTAATTTTGTTTGTTACTGTAAAAGAACAAAAACAGCACATCATAGCAAGATTTTTGTTAGAACAATATCTTTAAAATGATTCTAATACAAATAATAAAGCAACTTGCAGTCTAATTTAGAACTTAAAAATAATAGTATTTGGTCTGCATTTATGTTAACATTGATAATGATTTGATTTTTTTTATTGGTGATTAACAGCTGAAATGAAAATAGCATCTACTTTAAAAAATAAAGGAAATGAAAAGATAACTAATTGAAAAAAATACCTTTACTTCCCCACCTCTACAAAAAAAAAGGAAAATGCTGATTACATATTTTTATGTTGAAATAAAATTTATTAACAAAATAACTCATTTCATTTAACTATCCATGCAAAATTATTATCAATTTTCATATCTTTTTTTCTTATTTTTTCCATTTCATCATGAATATTTCAAAACTGTTACAAAAATAAAATAAATTGTAAGCATGTTTCCTTTTGTCTGAATTTAAGAAATGAAGAATTATCTTATTTACACTATTTATATTAGGACTATTATTCTCATCAACAAAAATGATGACAATAGTCAATATATAGTGTAAATAATGTAAGCATGAATGTTCAAAAATCATATAACATTAGACTCCTGCTGATTAGGGATTAGCATATGTAAATGTAAAGTTAACTTGACATTTTAAGCAAATATATAGAAAAGTTAACTTCTGCTTTTTGTGACTTGGGATTTGAAATATTACTTGGAGATTCAAGAGTGAATCATTAATTTTCTTTCAAACTTCAAATAGTTCTTGGCATTACTTCTTACCTTCTTGATTGCCAGAATTCGGTAAATATAGACCATGGAATGTTTCTCTTGAACACATTGGATTTGAAATTTTCCATGATTTTCTATTTCATTCAGTTTTGGCCAGTAGATGCAGCATTTCAACTGAAAACAATAACAAGAGGAAAAATTTTTTTTCAGTAGTGGCATTTATTGAAATGAAAAATGTAATTTTATATAAACATTTAGAGAAAAATTTGATTTTCGTTATATAATCAAATCAAAAATATTTTTTCACAAATTTTACAAAAATGTGAATGACTCAATTTAAAAAATTATATGTAAAATGGTTGGAAAGAAAGACTTGTCACTTGTTTTGCCAAAATAAATTTAAGCCATTGTTTGTTCATATAAGACAAAGTTAGGCAAATAACATTGTGTTCTGAACTTTCTTTTTCCTTCCAAAAATAATTTCAACCTTGAATAAATTTTCATGTGATGAGTTCCATTCAAGTCACTGCATGCATTGAAAGATTCAAAAAGGTTAATCAGCTTCAAAGACAATGAGGAGTAATTTGAATTATCAATGGAAATAAAATCTTATATGTCAGGAAATATAACAATTACAAGACAGACATTTGTTGATGTTTGTAATAACACTCTCTTTCTGAAAGTACTTATAATTTCTATAATGTCTGTATAATTTTGGTTGCACATGCAGTGTTTACATATGTACTAGTATATGTTTTGCATATTAGGTGTCAAATACATAACTTATTCAAATGAATAGGTAGATTTTTTTTACCTTTCCATTTTCCATAATTTCAGTTAACATAACAATTGTGTTGCATTTTTCTTGCCAAATCATTCTCCAAAAATCCTCGATTGTTCCTTCCAAAGGTCCTAAAATTTATAGTTCAGGTACATAGAAAGTGATTAATAGGTCAAGTAGAATTCTCAAACATATTTAACTCTTCCTAAATTGATGCAATAATCTCATATATATTAGAAAACAACTCACAATTTAAAAAAGTGATTGTCAAAATTGGCAGCTCTTTCATGATAGTCATTTTGAAATTTAGAGATTATGTATTATTACCAAGTCAGAAATTGATCAAATTCACATTGTCATATTTGGTATCCTGATCACAGTATTTATGTTGGTGTACTCTTCACATGCTGCTAACTAGTATCTTGTTAGTCACTGAATTCACAACCTTTTCACTTGCTAAAGTTTGTCTCACAATTCTTCAAAAGAAACTGAAAATAATTGCCTTTGAGGGAAATAAGAGGTACTGTTTGAAATTCTTCAGAAGTTGTTGGAAAACAGGAACCAAGAGGTAGTGATCAAAACAACAAAGATGGTGATGCTAGTTTTATATTTCATTATCATAGTTTGATAAAAGGATTTCCCAATATCAAATTCAATGTATTTTATTGGATGTTTTAAGTTGTATCTATTAACTTACATTCATACAAATGATGGAAACATTTCAAATCAGAGACATACAATGTTTTAAACAAAACAAATTAGTGAGTGTTAGTGACTTGATCTCTGCCAAGCATAAAAATATTATGATTTTTTTTAAGGATTAAAGATTATATGTAATAAATTTAATAGTTAGTTTGTTCTGTCTACAGAGAGATAAAAAAATTAATAGGTATGAGATTGGTTTGATTAGTAAAAATGATGAAATAGGATAAACATCTTAGAAGAGAAGGATAGAGAGTTTTTTTTTTATAAAAGTGGAATCAAAATATAATGATAAATATCAAGATAAAAATTGTAAAATGAAATGAAACTGGGAAATGTTAGAAGTTAAAAGAAAGTGAAGGCAAAATAGTAAATCTGAATGTAAAATGAAATCCACCATGAGAAGTCAAGGAATCCTTAGAAACAAAGAGAAAAAGAGATGCTAAAAATAATAGAATATATTAAGAGGTGAATTAAAAAGAAAATCAACACTGAAGATAAAGATCATACAGAATGGAATGAAAAACACAATGTTTCATGAAACTATGTTTCAAAGCTTGCTTTAATATCAAATATTAATGTCAATATATTTTAATACTAAAAAGTAAATGATTAGCTCTGATCATGTTAAAATTTTCATAATATGAAAATCCTGATTAATTTTCATTTTGTTCATTAATTGCCTAAACAAGCATATATTATGTATCCATCACAAATAAAAATAAATTGAAATATTAGATATACACCAATAATTATTGCAATTATATTTCTGAAGAATGAAAACATCAAAATAAATATCATATTCAAAAGTAAAATGGATGTAATTTTAAAAGTAAGCATATTTAAATATTTATTTTTAAAAATATTCAGTTTTTCATATATAGATGATAAAAATGTCCCTACCTTGTGTTGCAATGTAATTGTCTCCTACCTGAAACAAAAAAAAAATTGGTAGCAATTATATCATGAGCTATTGTGGATTGTTCTTGATAATTGATAAGCATGCACCAATTATCTTTGGGATGGAGTGGTGAGAAGAAAAGCTTAGAATTAGATTTTCGTAATTTACCCAAATATCCTTGCTTTTAGAATCTGGGTATTTTTTTTTTTTGGCATTTCAACATTTAAGGTTTATTAAAACTCAACACCTAATTAACACATAATATTTTTTATAGGTCATGTGATTTAGCATCATGCATTTTTTCGGTCACATTAGGTCACATTATCAAACTTAAATCATAGGTTCAAATTTAAATCATAGATTCATTTAGCAACATCACATAAGCTGTCATCAGATCAGATGTGCTGTAAATACATGGCACTAGTATTAACATTTTTTATCATATAAAATTCTAACACATTAAAATAAAAATAAAATGTTGAATATCTAAAATAAAAAATAAAATTATCAGATAACCATGAATCAAAGCTAAAGAAGTGTGAGGAAAAATATCAAAAAATTAAATACTAACCTTTCTTACTGAAAAACAGATTGGTACCAGTTTTATTACATTGAATAGACAGGGGTGTGAACCTTTATAAGTGATATAGGGAATGGATGCCAATAGTAAAGTTTAACAGAATCACTTGAGTGTTGAAAATGGGAGATAACCTTTTTGTTAATTTCAACACATATTTAAAAAAATATAAAATATTGGAATATCTGTAAATAAAATAGCACTGGAAAAAAAACATTAAAAACTATGTATATGCTTTTTTGGGGATGTTTTTTTTATGAAGCAAGTTATAGAGATGTATGAACACATCTAAAAATATTCAAAGCTAAAATGAAACAAAAGTTATATCTTCATTTTAATATGATTAATGTTTTCATGAAACAAATTGAGCCACTTTTGATTTTTTATGGTATCTCTTCAAGCTTATGTTCCAGAAAAATATTCTCAGTAGATATTTTCAAAATATCTTCTGAATGTTTGTCAGTGAAAAAAGAACATTGCTTGTTTTTATTTTTGTTCATGACAGAGATGATCTGTTCAGAAATGTCAGTGCTTCAAAAAATACTGAAGATTTTCTTAGCAAGTTGAATGACATTTTGATATATCTTTTTGTCCAGACTTTAGTAAAAGTTTTGCAGGCTACTTTGGTTTGTTTTGTGAACCTGAGGAAGCTTGAAATTTGGTTACCTCCAATTACAATTCTGTGGACAATTCTTTAGTGGTTGATAGAAAAGAGATCCTCAGTGAGTTTCAACTGAATGTCATTTTCTTTTGAAAAAATAATACTTCTTTAAAATTCTGTGAGAAGAATTTCAAGTTGTTTCGCATATTTGCTCTAAACTTATCATGGGAATATGTCAGGTATACGTAGGAAAGTGATACATTCCAATTTTTGCTAGCTGACTTCTAAAAAGTTTCAATTTCATTTTGAAAGCTTAATATTAAGATTATTTTGAGGTTTTATAATATACCACCTGAAGCACTTTAAATATTTTTAGTACATGTTTTAGAAATATTTTCTCTTTGAGAGTTACAAAATACTGTGGCACCTTTCATCAGTGGAACTATCACACTTCTATATGATATGACAAGCCACTATATTCAGCATCTAACTCTTCAAGAAAACCTTTAAATAATCTATGTTTAAGCTCTCTAGAACAAAAATAGTTTACAATAGAAAAGATAATAGGCATAATATGATTGAATTTTATAACTTATCTGCATATAACCTAGTGATGTATGATGCAGTGATGGGTGAATATTCATTTCCAAAAAAATCTTTGTAGAAGAGAAACAGCTCCAATATTTTTTCCATGCATAGTAGGAACGCTATCATTGAAAGCAGATACTAAATTTATGAAAACATTTCTCAAATTTATGCTAAGACATTTTCTTATTGGTTATCAGCACAAAAAGTGGGATTGATGTGTTGAGTTCAAATTCCAGCTGGGGCTGCTGCATACATTTTTGCACACACCCCCTTGTAAAGACATGAATCAGTCTCTTTCTTCTCGCTAGGGGTTAATAACTGGATGGACTAGGATCTCTAGTCTTGGTTGGCAACCAGTCTAGGAGAACAACAACTCTGACTCCCAAACTGGTTAGAATAAGGCTAGCAATTTCCCCTCATAAAAAAACCTACTTGCTACAGAAACCACAACAGCAATGTCTATCTAGGTGAGGCTGTAACTCTATACTCCAGAGAAGAGTCTGCATAAAGTAGAATGCTACATATAAGGCTCATTGATATTGTTACAAATAATTATTTGTAACCACCTTCAATTGAAACTTGATACAGATGATTCTTTGAAAGTATAGGATAAACTCCTATATTCTATTGCCAATAAGTGAAGCACAAACAAGTAAGAGACGCCTTCAAATAAATCCTACAAAAATCGGTAGATACAAAAAAAAACTTCACAATTCTGTACAAAATATTGCTCCAAAATTAAATAAGTAGTTTCTGGAACTTGATTGGATATAACAAGTCAGATAATGTGCTCTCTATGACGTCTGCATAGTTGAACACCAAATTATCTGGAAATAGGTCAGGGCGTGGGCTACTTAGTATATTCCTGCACAGAATTTGTGAGCTGGTCACCGACTCAACATAAGTGATAAAAATAGCTTGTCAACAACAGTCAAGG